TCAATTCTCTACAACTTTTGTTTGAAACTTTTTTCGATTAAATGCCTAGATTCTAAGATACGGCCGTTTTTTACCCTTTTTTACCCTTTTTCTCAAAGATCTCCTGRYCCAATTGCAAAAAWATTWGCACCATTCGATTCAGCGTCGTCGAATTACCATTATATCAAGTTTCTGGCAAAGTGGTCAAAAATTTGGCACTTGGTCCTTTTATTGCCTGGACTAACAGTAAAATAGACAAGAGAAATGTGTATAATAACTCTGTCGAGGTATTGTATTAACTTTTACGGATAAAAATATATATATATATGTATAAAAGTGTTTCAAAATATGCGGGTATGATTTTAAGGATGGTGTTTCAATACGCTAAAATAAAAAACAAAAGTTCATATATATAATTACAATATAATTGTTATAATATATAAATATTTTCTTATAAAATATATCAAAGTTCATCTCCTATAAAAACATAATTATTAATTTAAGATATAATATAATTTTGAAATATATTAAACAAAAAAAATCATATGTTATATCCAATGGATGTAAAAGTACACTGTTGTACAAAAGTTTGTCGTTATTTTGCTAATCGTGTTAAAGGTAAAAATCGTGTTGCACTTGTACGTATAATATAAATACAATTTATGAAATAAAAAAGGAAAAATAGCCTACTCCATCCTCTTAAAAAAAAAAGAAAAAGAGAAGAAGTAAGTAAAAAAGTAAGAAAGAAATAAAGAAAGAAAAGTAGAAAGCACTCGTGGAAAGTTTTTGAGGTAAGCTCTTCAGACATAGAGAGCACAAAAGTGCTGGGTATGTCTAACTGGGTCGATTAATCTCTCACGTAAGGAGAGAGAGAGAGAGAGAGAGGGAGGGGGAGGGGGAGGGGGTGAGGATGCTGCCGGGGCAAATGCAACCAGCACTTTACATACCACGAAAGATCACCCTACCTAGATTGCTCGCTACTACCCCTAACCTCTTTTTTTTTCTTTTTTTTTTAGTTGCTTTCGTGTGTATCCTACAATATAAAATACACGACAAATAATAAAACGAAAAAGAAAAAAGATAAAAATGATTTGAGAACAATAGAAAATAAAAGTATAAACAAAAAAAGGTAGGGTCCAGGAGGAAGAAGAAGAAGAAACAAAAAAAATAGAAAACTTATCCGAAAGATCATCTACATGGTGTTTGCCCTACATTTCAAAAATATCTCTTTTACTCTTACTTCTTTCTTTCTTTTTATCTATTTCTATTTCTATTTCAGACATCTTATCTTTCTTGTCGAATCAGTCCCAGTTTCTTTCTACATCCCTTTTCCATTTTTCCCTACCTTTCTTCTTCTTCTTCTTCTTATTTTCGTTCATATAATGACAGGATAAAATGTTTTAGAAGTTTTAATTGAAATTACAACTTCATTATTTTATACTATCTCCGTTCATCTCTCTTTTTTTTTCATTTCTTTAAGGACACCTAGGAATTAAGATCCTTGGACTACCCCCCTCCCCCCGTCCCCAACCCTACCCCTTTAATTTTATCTATCTATATATTTCGCAAAATCATTTTCATTTTCATTTTCTGTCTCTCTTTCTTTCTTTTTTCCTTTTCTTCTTTTTCTTCCTTGTTTCCTTTCTCATCCACGTGTGTATGTATTCTTGTTTTTCTTCTTTCATTGACAAAGTATTTTTCGGTTGGTCGGTTTCAGGCACCGGAGCGTTTAATCGTGCGATGCTGATGAACGTTGGTTACGTCGAAGCATTGAAGGAAAAAACTTTCGATTGCTTCATTTTCCACGACGTTGATTTACTTCCGGAAGACGATAGAAATTTGTACACCTGTCCGGAACAACCAAGGCACATGTCAGTCGCCGTTGATAAATTCCGATACAAGTATGATCATTTTTTTATTATTAAATATTATTATTATTTATTCAGTATTTTCTCTCGTCCAAAATTATAATTTTTTGATGATATAGGTTCATAGGGAACTTGGACATGAAAAGAAGTAGAACTTAATTTAATTGAGTTGGACGTTTCGTCCCTTTATTGGGACTTCTTCAGCAACTGGAAATTTTATTTTCTTATAAATTAATAAGGTAATATGTAAAAAATTATATTGTATAAACCGCATGTATCGTAATAAGAAATTTATAAGAAAATAAAATTTCCAGTTGATGAAGAAGTCACAATAAAGGGACGAAACGTCCAACTTAATTAAATTAAGTTGTACTTCTTTTCATGTCCAAGTTACCTATGAACCTATATCATCAAAAAATTATTATTATTATTATTTTATTTCTAATTATATTATTACTTTTTGTTTATTTTTGTGTACATTTTTTTTTCTTTTTTTTTTTATTATATTTATTTTTTTCTTTTATTACAAATGAACGATATTAATATCATCGATTATCCATTTCTAAAGTTATATATTTGTTTATGAATTTAATAAATATTAATATCGTGAAACGCGATTTAACCTCGAGCAAGATAATTATTACTCTTTTCGAAGAATGAAGGATAATAATTTCGTTTTAATGAAGTAAAAGTATGTGTGTGGAGAAAATTTATGGGGAGTAGGGGGAAGATAAATAATCGTTACCATTATTAATTAACGCGTCATTAACTCGTTATATGTAACTAACTGTAGTAATTGTATGATCGTACTATAACAACTCCTCTATTCAGATCTTCATTATCTCAAATTGATTTTTACCACAAATTACTGTAATGTAGTGCAAAACGTTTGTAATATGTACACACATAGGGGTGTGTTATTCTTTTAAATTAAAAACACTAAAAAATATTTCGATAAAATGTTCATCTTCGATAAGAAAAAAAATGTTGAAGTATAATAGATATTATTTTTTTATTTTTTGTTTTAACAAGAAGACAGATATAACAGTATTGCATTATTTCTAATTCTGTAATCGGTTTTTTTTTTTTTTTTCTAAAAAACAAAGTACAAATTATTTAAAGTAAAAAATTGGTTCATACTGGAATAAATTTTAAAACTCTGACAAGGTAATATAAAATGCAAAAAAGAAAAAATTGTATTTTTCAAGACTCCCATACGCCGATCTTTTCGGTGGTGTTTCTGCTATGTCTCGAGAACATTTCAAGCTGGTGAACGGATTCAGCAACGTCTTCTGGGGTTGGGGTGGCGAGGACGACGACATGGCTAATCGTATAAAAGCTCATGGTTTGCATATCTCACGTTATCCTGCAAACGTAGCTCGTTACAAGATGCTAACACACAAAAAGGAAAAGGCTAATCCAAAGAGGTAAAAACAAATTTTCTATTAATTTTATTCACCAAAATTAAAATATATTATTTATAACGTTGATATTTATATTTCAAATATATAATATACTACGTGTATATAATCAGGTTTTTATTGCACAACCTACAAAGTTTTTTACAATGTATCATTATTTATTATTATTTTATTATATATAATAAATAATATATATATTAATATATCATAATAAAATATATTAATACATCATTATTTATTATTATTTATATATATATATATATATATAATCAGGTTTTTATTGCATATAATATACTACGTATTATTAAATATTATATTAAAACACACACAATCGATCAAATGACCACAAATGAGTATTTGAAATTTTGCAAATTAAAATTCTACGTTAAATTGCATTGTATTGCATTGGTTTGATTTTATTTTATTTGAATATTTTATGAGAAATATATAAATTGTAATAAAGTATTCATTCAAAAACATGATTAATCTATAATTAAAGAAATTTATGAAACGACAAAAGGAAGGAACGTCAAAATCTAAATAGAAATACGATTATTATTTAAATTAACTTGACGAGAATAATACTTATACGAGATAATTTTCGTATATAAATATAATAGAACAAACAAGAGCATTTTAGTCATGCACTCGATTTGTATAACGTAATATTCATTTTAAAATGAAATCATTATGATAATATAATTACGCGTTCTACAAAGAGACACACAAATAATATTTATATTCATTTACACAGTAATTGTTTGTGTATAACAGAACACAGAAATACTATTTATATAATAGGAATTCGTTCGTATGATAAATACAATTCTTATAACGGGTGTGATTATAATAAAAAGATGATTTTATCGTACAAATATAAACAGATGATTATGGAATAAAGAAAAATAATAAATTTTTTCAGGGAAGGGGAGGAAAACAAAAAAAAAATGAAAATTAATCGATAATAAAATTATAATCGTTTTATTATTAACAGGTACGAGTTCCTGAGATCGGGGAAGAAAAGATTCGCTACTGATGGTCTTAGCAATCTACAATACGAGCTGATCGATAAACAAAAGCCAAAATTGTATACGTGGCTTTTAGTACGACTTACACCACCTCAGCCTAGCTGATGGCTACCATGGATCGGTTGAATTATTCGGGAAGTTCCTTATTAAATAGGTTTCCAAGGGACAGAAAGAAAAAAAACACACACACACACACACCACTCACGCGTAGTCCAGTTTATTTTTTTTTTAATTATTTTTTTTTTTTTTTTCAAGAACGTTCGATACTCAAAACTCAAAATCTTCGATAAAATAAACATCAGTCGAACGAAATATATATATAACGAATTTGTGTATGTGTGTGTGTGTGTGTGTGTGTGTGTGTATGTGTGTGCGTGCGAATTTTTGAAAAGTTTTATCGAAAGAAATAATAAAACAACACAACAAAGAAATAAAATAAATAAGAAATAACGAACGAGAAGGGACTTACTACTACTACTACTACTATTACTACTACTATTATTACTACTACTATTACTACTGTTTTACATCGGTGTGATGTTATTTCGTAATACGAAAAAAACTTAACTTCCACGCTGCTGCTACTGCTGCTGCTGCTGCTGCTGTTGTTGTTGTTGTTGTTGTTGTTGTTGATATTATTATTATTATTATTATTATTACTTTTCGATTGTATCCTCAGAGCAGCGAAATTTTACTTAGAAAAAATTCGCTAACCAATCTCCTATTAAACCATTGTGGTTATTTTTTTTTTCTCTTACAAAATCGTGTAAACGTACACCGAGTAGAAGAGAAGAAGAAGGGGGTGAAAGGGGTTGTGTAAGGGGTTGGGAGGTTAATAAGACGGATAAACACCGTCAATTGCGTGATATATTTTTTATTCCTCGATATTTTTTTATTGCAACGATAGGATTAATGAGTATGCGATTAATAGTGAGGACTTAGATAAATGAGTTTTGACGTGCCAAAGGAAAAAGTTAGGATGAATTTAAGAAGAAAGGTAAACGATATATCAAAAGAAAAGAAAGAGAGAGAGAGAGAGAGAGATATTGTAAGTATGTTTGCGTGTGTATGTATACGTGTATGAAATTTTATTGATTGACAATGAATGAAATAATTATGATAATGCGGTGTCCGCGATTATAAATATTTTGTAGAATTATTAAATAATACAAAAAAAAAAAAGACACGTCCACGCGTTATCTGTGGACACCTTTTTCAAATCTTCCTCTTTAAAATATATAAAACAATACAAAAAATTATATAATATAAAAATTAAAATGATTTGTCTCTTAACTTAATAATTAAGCTATACATATACACGTTTAAAATTAAACATTTAGGATACGCTTGAGAAAAAAAATAAAAAAGAATGAATTTACTTAGTTGATAAATAATTAATCGTTATATTATTATAATATACATATATATATACATATATATATATGTATATTATTATACACTTCTATTTTTGTATATATAAAAAAAAGAAGAAAAAAAGAAAAAAAAGAAAGAAAGAACTTCGGTGAAAACATTACGCGCGTATGTGTGTTGTGTATTATTATTATTATTATTATAATAATAAAAAATATCATGTCCACCGATAATCGTGGACGTTCCTTTTTTATATATAATATATCATATATCGTGTCGATCGTTTACACGAAAATATATCATTGATAGGATATAGCAATTGAATTGGGAAAAAAAAAAGAAAGAATAAGATTGAAAGCTTCCCCTTTTTGGATTATCGACGTTACCGATTTTTGTTTCTTTTTTTTTCTTTTTTTTTTTTTTGGTTTTTTTTTCACTGTTAACATGCGCAACCATCAATGAAAGGAAGGAAGAATTACATTCGCGCGTGAATTTTCAAATAATTTATATATATTATAACTTATATTATAATATATAAACATAATTATTAAAGGAGGAAGAAAAAAAGGAAAAAAAAAAAAAACCTATAAGAAGGCGCGAGCGCGTATGTGTACATATGTGTAAAAGACATTAAATTAAATGTATGAACATTTAAGTCAATCGCGTGCAGCTAATTATTAAAAGTGCATTTTTATTATTATTATTATTGTCTGTCGTATTATTTTTAACTCGTCGTGTGTGAAAACCCCAACGATGAAGTTAAGAAAATTAAAATGCGTATAAAAATTATTACACAGAGACATAGAACACAAAACAAACACATTCACACACACACACGTATGACAAATATATTCCTCGCGAGAGCTGAAATACGTAAATCTTTTGTGCTATTTTTTTTTTTTTCGATCGAAATAAAGAAAGATCTTCGATTAAATTTTCGATATGAATTTTTATTATTATTATTATTATTATTATTATTATTTCTATTTTATCATTACTTAAAAAAATAAAAATTACTATATACAAATATATTATTAAGTAGAAAATAATTTCGTTGCGTGTTTTATTTTTTCTTTATAATATTAGATATTAAGAAACGTTTTGGTTCGATTAAAAAAAAAAAAAAAAAAAAAAAAATAGAAAAAAACGTTTTATCAGCTCTCGCGCATTTAAAAAAAAAAAGAAAAAAAAATAATAAAACGTGAGAAAATTTTAATATCAATCAACAAACCGAACGGAAATAATAACGATTATAAATTTAAGTATGATGTAAGTTAAATTGCGCTAAGTATTTATATAAACGTAAGCAATTCTTTGAGAATATACGAGAAAGAAAAATAAGAAGAAGAAAACAAGACGTTGTATTTAAACGTAAACACGTTTATAATATAAGTTATTAAAATATGAACAAACTAAAAAAAAAAAACAAACAAACAAAATACGTACTGTCGTTCACGTCGCCAATTTTATTATTAAAATATCAATTTATTAACGACGAATAATATATATATATATATATTGAAAAAAGAAAGAAATAAAAGTAAAAAAAACATACGCAAGAAACGCGAACACGAGGATAATCTTCCAACAAATTTCTTCGTAAAATCATCTTTATTATTGGACAAATCTTTCTTGATACTTGATTTTTATTTTACTTTACAATATCAAAAACAAAAACAAAAATAAATGATACAATACATTGCGTCCTCGTGTACGTTATTTTTTCTCATCTGAATTTTATCTCTCACGCATGATGTGTAATAGAAAGATATATATATATATATATATTATTCTGTTTATATAAAACAAAAAGGAAGAATATATACATATATATAATATATATACATATGTACATATAAGGATATTATACATCGAATATCGTATTTAATGTTCTTCGAATTTATTTACAATAGGTAAAAAAAAAAAGAAGAAGAAGAAAAAAAAAAAAAGCAAANAAAATAATAATAATAATAATAATAATAATAACAATAATAATAATATTAATATTAATAATAATTATAATAATATAAGTCAACTATATATATATACAAGTAGTCAATGATAATACCTTTCCTGTTCCTCCATTATTATTTCAGAAAGAATATTATCAAGACGTTTGACAGTAAATTTACTGGTACTTTCCAACAATTCTATAATGAAATTATGATTGAAGAAACGATGAGATAAAACTATATTCTTATCGTCGGATAATTCATCATCGTAAAGTTCGTCGTAAGTATTACGCAATAATTCCCGAAGTGTTTTCGTAGTTTGAAATAAATCGGGTTGAGATGCGTGCCATGGTAAAGTAGCCAATAAAACTGCCTGGAAAAATCAATATTTATTTATGATTATTTTAATTATATTAAATATTACTTGATTGTGCAATTACTTGATTATAATATTCACATATTATATATTGACAATTAATTATTTTACTTTACATATTAATTAAATAAATAGAAATAAGTTTATAAATTAATTTTAATTATAATGTAATAATTGTGTTCAGAGATAATTTACCAAACAAATATCATAGGGAAGCCAATAAATTATCATTCTTTCAATCGGTTCTTCATCATACTCATGATAGTGTTCGGGCATTATACTAAAATCTGATTGTTCATCACTTCTATCAATTATCGAATCAGAAATTTGTTCAGAATTTTGAGTAATACGAGATAGTAACGTCGAGGGATCGATCTCGCCAGGTTCATCAAGTTTTTGAATCATCAATCGACGTTTTACTGCGTATTCACCATTTTCTTCTGTTATTATTACACCGGCAACAGCTTTGTCCAAGAGATGATTAATTATCTCTTTTGTTACCTTATAATGGTTTTAATTATCTGATTATAATTATCTCTGATCTATGCACAAATGTTTTATTAAACGAAACAAATTATACAGAAATTGACAGAATTTAAATTAAAGAAATTTCAACCACAAGTAGATGCAAAAAAAAAACGGAGAAATGCATAAAAATTTCAATGATATTTTTCTCTTTGAACGTGTTTAAATTATTAATATTAATTAATTCGATTTCAAATCACATCATTAAAAGTTTATAACTTTCTTCATATATATATAATTTGATTATTTCACAATGATACTATAATAGAAATAAATTTCTAAATTATAATCTCGTCAAAACTTGAATTAATCATTATTATAATGAATATTTTCTAAATATATCATTAATAATATCATCACATTCGTATGAAATAAAACGAACGATATGAATTCGAAGAATAAGAAGAAAAAAAGGAAAACAAAAAAAGACGAAGCTTATAAATTATTATTAAATTATTATTACTTGAATAGCTTCCTCGCGTAAAAGATTTCTCATAGATTCCAATTGGGCGTGTAATCGTTTCTCTTGAAGTAACTTATCAACGTATTTCTCTCCCTCATTGTAATCCGTGCAAACTTTGTTACCAATAGCCAAGGAGAGTGCTTTTCCAAGTCCTTCGCGAGGATCCTCGTCCTTGCAAAGGGCCAATAGCAAGGCAGTATAATTGACCGAGTATCGATCGATCAAGTACATTTGACAAAGCAATTCTTTAGCCAATAGGAGTCTTAAGAAATCTTCCTTAAGATCTTTCTTAACCATTATTTCTTCATCCTGATCCTCTTTCGTAACTTTGTTCTCATTTATTATCGAATTTTTCAAATAATTAACATAATCCATTGCTTTATCCGAGATCATAGTATTCACCAATTTATCAGGATTCATTAAATCTATCTCATCGTCGAATAAATGACCATCCAATGGTCTTTGGAAATCATCGAAAAGAATATCCTTGATATTAGGTGAAATATCATCGGTATATTCGAAAAACCATAATGGTACAGTACGATACTGATCTATCGTCACGATTTCTCTCAAATCGTGATCCAATATTCTATAACGATCGCGTGCACGCAAAATATCTTCCTGTGTTGCTATTGGAAGATTAATACCGTAAATTAAAAATTCACGCCATTCTATGTATTCGCAATTAGGACCAAAAATTTTCTCGACAAATTTGTTAACGTCGCATGATTTTAAACGTCGCCAACAAGATGGTACAGGCATCGTACCAAAACCATCATCTTCCTCGTCCTTGTTGTATGATATCATATCTTGAAAGACATAAATTAAAGAACGTTCGGTTAATTTTCCACTAGGTGCAATCATTTTAAACACGTTCATCAAACGACCCAATTGTCCGATAGTGAATAAATATGGTTTTACAGTTTCTTTGGTTAATTTAATCGGTTTTTCCGGTTCATCTGGATAAGTAAGAATGTTAGATCTTACGTAAAAATGTTCACCGTCTAATACTAATTCTTCTTGAATCATTTTTTCATCTTCTATAGCGAGACCGAAAACTTTTGTCATCTCGTTAATGCTATCCTTTTCTTTTTCGTATCTGAAAAATATTTAACGTTTTATTTTCACGATTAATTATTATTCGTGATTCTCAATTCAAGACTTTTTTCTTTTTTTCTTTTTTTATATATATAACGATTAAAAACCTGTCGATTATTTTCTCGTAAATTCGATGAAACGTTAATCGCATTGTTTCGAGAAGAAAATCAATGTCGGCTTTAGCGGATTCCACGATAATATCCAATCTCATTTTCATTCGATTGATTTCAAATAGAGTAGCATATCTCCATTCTTGAAAAAGATCCTGCATTCTAATTTTCGTCAATTTTCCATCGATCCGATCATCCGCCGCCGTAGCTGACAAATCAACTTTTTTCCGAATTTTTGTCCTACCGGTAGAAAGATTTTCTTCTTTTCTCATCGTATCATTAACACTAGTTGCAATAAATTCTACAAATTGTTTTACGTAATTAACGTTATCGATGATAATTTTGTAAATTAAACTATCGATTGTAACAAAAATCGTTGAGTTTACAACATCGATAAGTAAATTAGTTATTTCTTCGATTAAATCGTTTGGATTTATGACGGGTTTTGTAAAATCAAATTTATCCGAGATCGTTTTATTAGATCTTTTCATATCTTTTCCGATCTCACCGATCCTAGTAGTAGTAATATTAGTAATATTATCAAATACATTTTGATTCATTTGCGATTTGATCTCACGTATATTCAATCTGTCGAGTAAAATTTTAGAAAATCTAAATTCTTTGATAGATTTTTCAAGCATACTTGTATAATAATCTTGAATCATTTGAATAGTATCTACGAAACGATCGATTTCACTTTGAATTATCGAAAGATAAATATTAACGAGTATAACAGCTTCGAAATCGGTCCAATGTTCGTTAACAATTTTTCGTCGTTCCTCTTCGGCTTCGCGTCTTTTTAAATCGCAAATATCAAACAAACGAGTTTGAAATTCGATCAAACGGCAATGCAATTCGCATTTAACATCTTCGTCGTTTCTCATGTCATCGTTTATTTCATTAAACATTAATTGAAATTCGTTCAATAAATTCTGTTTAATATCGGGTCTGTCAATAAATTTCATCATATTATTCATTAGAAAATTTTTATAAGGTATAACAGCAATCGAATGGATTCTCTTTAACGACAAAATTTCCATTAAATCGTTAATGTAAATTTCTTCCAAGTTTTCCCAAAGTGTAGCCAAAGCATCGAGTAATACAGGATTTAATGATAAATCTAACCATTTCCAAGCATCCTCTCCAGGTTTTGGTACACTATGAACACCAAGGTTATCATCGGAAACTTTTTCATCTTTCACTTTCATTTTATCTTCTTCTTTTTCTTTTTCTTCATTCTTTTTGGATAGAACAAATCGTTCAGTTATTTCTGATTTCTTTTTTGAAGATTCTTTGTAATTACGTTCCTTACGTTCTTCCAATAACTTCAATGCACTCTCACCGAATAATTCTACGGAAGGTGTCCTTGGCATAGATTTATCATCGATAACGAGTCTAACTATTTTCTTTATGATATTTGTATCGATATAATCGTAATAAACAACGTAAGCTATGTTCTGTTCTATATAAAACTTATCAATAGCTGTAACATCGTCGGACAACACTTCCACCAATTTATTCGGATCTACGTCAAGGTCAATTGGTTTTGGTATAGCTCTGACGTAAGTTGTCATAAAGGTCGACGTTGAAGTATAATCATTTTCTTTGGTTATCGGATTTGGTAATAATTTTGACTGCCTGTAGACAAAATATCACATCGTGTTTTATCGTTATTGTATCATTTTATCATTCGTTTCTATTTATTTAGTCAATATTTGTACATTTTTTTTTTATATCAAATAAATTAAATTACCGAGTGTTAAATATCGATACACGATATATATACTGATATTTTATTATTAATATTAATCATTCATATTTAAAAAAGAATGATTTAAAATATTTCATAATATTGACCCAATAAACAATTACCTTCCTCGTATAATAAATATTAGGATGAACCAACAAATGTTCGTGAATTTTTAAATAATATTTCCAAAATAAATATTTAACAAAAACAAATCCCTCCCATTATGCAATATATTTTATAATAGAATTTATAATAAAAATAAACGCGCACGAATTTTTGGTTAATCCTAATAATTCATCTTATTCGACGTATTTATTAATCGTATACATATAAAAAGTATCAAAATGATTGCCTGTAAATAGAATAATCATCGATTTCATCATCCTCGTAAATTATCCTAGACGAAACCGGATCTATCTCTTCTATATTAATTTTATCGAAATTTACAACGTTAGTAGAATCATAATCGCGTTGAAAAATTGGACAACCCGTTAAAGCAAATTCCAAACGTGCCATTTGATCGTAATTATTAGGATAATCGATCAATGCCCATCCTTCGATTTCACCGAGACTTTTGAGATATTCCAAAATTATTTTTGTATTCAATTCGTTAGAAATTGGTTGACCGAGTATTAAAAATTCGTATGTCCATTTTCCAATGTGTGCAGCATCGCTTAAAATAGGATTCATGTCATCGTAAGGTATAACTCGAGGTGTCTGAGTTTCTTTTTCTTTCAAACCTTTCTCCTTTTCCTTTTCCTTTACTTTTCTACGTACAGAAACTTTATCAGATTTAAGAGTTTTCTTCGATTTCGTCGTTGTATTCTTTTTCAAATCATCAACTTTACGTTTGACAATATCATCGGTAGCACGAATAATATTTGCATCGATGTATTCCACATCTAACATTTCTTCCTTGTATCGTAATAAACAATAATTAATGGCATCTTTCATAGACACCAAACGAATACCACTATTATTTAATAATATTTCAATAGAATCGTATAAACGTGGCTCAACTATACCTAAAATAATAGCTGCAGTTTTAACTTTAGGTACCGGTGATTCTAAATAACCAGTCGGGTAAGGATAAACAAATTCTAAAAGTCGATGCACGATGTATCCTAACACAAGTTCACCTAACTTCAAGATTTCTTCAATCTCAGGATCCGTCATAGGTGGAACGTATTCGTCCCAAGGTGATTGTAAAGTATGATAACTTTCGAAATTGGCTTCGTTCAATACTTCTTCCCTATCCAATCGTGATTGAACAATTTCTTCGATATTTTCTTCTTCTTCTTTCTCCTCCTTTTTAGGAAATTCATTCTCGAACGGATCGAATATTGGCTGACATTTCAAGAACAACGTTTTCCATTCGTTCCAAATCGCTTTTGGCACGTAACATTCGTTAGAACTTCGATATTCAACTACTTTCAATGCGATATCTATCAAATCTTCAATAACTTCACGACAAATTCTTTCGTGTTTCTCTCGTAATTTGTTTAATTTCTCTTTACGAATTTTACGATGAAGTTCGGATAATCTACGATATTCCATATCAACGTTTTCGTATTCCCAATCGTATTCCTCTCTCTTTCTTTCCTGTTCCAATCGTGCTTTGTTCTCTTTAGCATCCAACATTAACTCATCAACGATCCTTCTGTTTTCGGTCATAACATTTTTCTGATTAAGAACCTCCGACAATTTAGTTACTATTTGTTTCTCGTAATGTGACTGATCAAGTACGCGACGTGCGAGTAACTCGTCGAAACTTTTCTCACGTTTTTCTATCAACGTTTTCCAAAGTTCAGAAAGCAATGTATTTTGCATTCCAGATTTAATAGTATTATCAATGTTATCTTTTCTTTTACGATTTTTCAACCAGGATATATAAGCTTTTGCTGCATCAGGATTTTCCTCGGATACTTCTATTTCGTCATATAACTTATCGGTTAAGCAAGGATCATAAATATCACTTTTGGAAGATTTAATACGATGTTTATTAGCAAAATCATTCATCTCTTTTAAAATATCATCGTTCTTCGTATCACAAAATGTTTTCGAAAGGGGAATAGGTTCGATCCAATCGAATGGATGCTTCGTTTTTAATGTTTGTTCATATTTTTGTTCCTTACGATATGATTTTAATATCTTTTGAAACTTATTACGATGCCATTCTATTGTACTAGTTGCTTTTTTCAATGGTTTTGAGAGTGGATGATCAGATATTTCATATGGAATGGGTTCTTCAAGGACAGGAATCACGTCGAATTTTCTTGAACTGGGTATATACTTTTCTCGTTCTTTTTGTAACGTGATAAAGTATAAACTGTCCTTGTCTTCTAAACTTAGATAAACTTTATAAAATAATTGAAGAGACGTAGCACCTTTGCCACAACTAATTTCCCCGATACAATCGTCAGTACAATCAACTCCGATAAAACGTAACCAGACACGTAAATGTTTCAAATTTACTCGACAAAGTGTAGAATCTTTTGTCTGAATGATAGTATCCAATTGATCGCAATTAATGATACCATAACTGTGAAGAATTTGAGCCAAGAGATAACCGTCTCTCGTGTAATGTCCAAACAATTCGGGTGTTAATTCGATTAAAACTCCTAATCTCTTTCTAAACCATGCTTTTAACACTTCACTCATTTCTCTCTCTTTTTGAAAATTTATTATTTATAGGAATTATATTTTTTATTTTATACAAAAATCTCAAGATAAGATATATTCGTAAAGCAAATACATGTATTTCGATATGTATTATGATAAAAGTAATACTAAATGATGAACAATTAATTTAATCTGTAAATGATAATCGACAGGTAAAATATCGATTAATCAATCGAATATTAGATTAAGATATATATATATATACACAGATGTGTATATACACAGATATATATACACAGATATATATATATATATATATACACAGATGATTATTTATTCAATTATTTACAATATAAATTCTTTTCATTTTATTGCAAATATACTTTTGATATTTAGCTTATTATATTAATGCAACATTATAATGCATTAGCAAATAATTGAACAGCGAAATAATAGGAAGTTAATATTTGAATAAAATGTAAATGAAAAATTCACTTCTTATACAATAGAGATATTAGTGAACAATAATATGGTTAAGTACGTAATAACAAAATTAATTTCCTATATTTTTTGACATGCTCATAATATTGGATAACTAAACGTAGAAAAAAATATGATAACATTAGAAAGAATAAATAAAAATGAATAATTAACCAATATGTTTTTTATTGTAAGATCTTAGAACTGGACTTTTTATAAATGTTAAAGGAAAATTGATGGCGATTGTTCTAATTTTCAGCTCTGTTACTACAGTCAATTAATTAATTAATTAATTCATATTTACATAAATAGGGATAAAAATTGTTTTAGTACAAATTGAATTCTACGAATGAACGAACATTAACTACTAATAACTATAAATATAATATATATATATATATATATAAAAATTGTTTTAGTACAAATTGAATTCTACGAATGAACGAACATTAACTACTAATAACTATAAATATAATATATATATATATATATCTTTTTTAGACAGTTCATAAACATTCAATTGATCGCTGTATGTTACATAAGAACATATGTATAATGTTTAAATTTATATGTATATGCTGACATGAATCTGTTTTCACAATACACAACCCTTTTAGTTCCTATATAGTATAGTTATAAAATCTTTCATTTTGTAATGACATTTTAAAAAAAAAAATCACAGGTCGACAAATGCAACTGTTCACTTAAAATCGTTTCCATCTTCTGTATATTTATCATTTTTCACTTCTATCCTTAGCTGCGAACGTCCTCTCGTATGATTTCCAATTCGCGAACGTAGATCTCCACTTTTTAACGTATCTCTCAAATCTCGACCTCTTTGTTGTCTGTAAATGATAAATAATTAATAACTAATATGATATAATTAGTTGTAACAAAAATTATAGAGTAAAACGTATGCACTCTTACCTTTCCTTTAAACTATTGCTGTTAACCACACTTTTTACATTATTTAATCTCGACCAAACTGTAGATGCAACACGTGGCTTATGTTGAACTACTTTAATTACGCTTCCCTTCGGTCCTTGTACTTCTTTAGCTTCTAAATCACTATCTTCACTATCAATCTCATTTTCTTCCTTCTCTTCGGCTTCTGTATTTTCTTCTTCCGTATCTTGCCATTCACCCTCTTCTTTCTCTTCAACTTGAATATCCTCTACAATTTCACCATCCTCTTCCTACCAATAATAATAATATAAATATATATTTACAATCAGTTGATTGTGTTGTAAAACACTTGTGTTATTAAAGTACATGCAAAAACTACCTCAGAATCGCTTGGTTTCGAAGAATTCAATCTTGTGGCATTATTGTTTGTAACAACAACTTGTATCGCATCGGGAAATCGCGTTGGCTTGATTGACGGTCTGCCAAGTCTCAATCGCAAATCATTTCCACTTGACATACTATTCAAGAGCATCTGTTCATTCATTTAAAAAAAAAACAAATTAATAAAATATAAATTTCTATCATGGAATCTCAAACAAAAGTGAAAAAAGAAAATAGTTTAGCTGTATATATAATATATACCTGAGTTTTGAGCTTAGCACGTCTTTTATGAATTTTTTTCTCTTCGTCATCTGCATGCATTCGCATACGCAATACTTTACTTCTTTTGCACCATTCTTCTTCGCTATCACTATCATTAGCACTACTATTACTTTCTTCAACCCGTGCTGTACTTTTAGAAGGAAATTTAACTCCAAGCCTTTCCTTTATATTTCGTCCTTGTTCCTTGTAATTATTCTTTACGTTAAAATCATTTTCAACAGAATCATTAATTCCCCAAGACTGGGATAGAGCACCCCAAGGATTTTTCATGCGATTTCCAGATGTGCCATTTTCTTCTTCTTCTGCCTCTTCTTCTACTTCTTCTTCTCCTTCCGACAACTTTCTTCTATTCTGTTTTATTTGTTTGTACAATCTTTTACGAGATTCCGTCAATATTCCTTTTATTCCTATAAAAAAATAATATTGTTATTATATTTTAGTTACTACAAAATATAAGTTGTACATTAAAACAAATGAAATGATCCAAATATAAAATTACCTCCAAAATTAGGATTACCATGTTTTTTATAATATTCACTCATCTTCTCTGCATTAGGTTGTTTCTTATCAGATCTTGTAGCAAATCGTAAAAATATTCTTCTAGATTTAGGACAATCAACACCTTTCCTCCATATTCCTGGTGGTAAAGGATAATCGATATCCTTGATATTTATTTCATTTGTATTTTTCTTTTCATCAGTTTCTTTATCGGATGAACTGTCATATTCAACTTCCATAATGCAGTCTTCGTTAGAGACAGAATCTACTGTATTTGTATTACTTTTGTTACTTAACGGTTTATCAGTAATACCTACAATACGTTTTGATAATCCTAACATGGCTCTAGCTGCCGATGCATTGTCAAGCCATACAACATTACCTGCAGAAAAATTCAAATTTTGAATAAAAGTTTTAGGTCCACACATAAGAGATATATAGAAAAAAATATATACATAAGTATACACATACATGATACGTCGTTTATCCATTCAATAGATGCCGGAGCATAATCTTCAAAATATTTAAAAACGTCCTTCGTACTCATGTCTTCGGTTCCTCTCATGTGTATCACATTTAATCTAATATTTCGTGTATTCTCATTATCTTCTCCTATCCCCATGCTAATAAATATTTGACAAAATTTTATTAATATAATGTATAATTATATTATTACTATTGAAATTGAATAAAATTTGTTACCTAGTATATAAATCTTGTTCGTAATTAGATAAAAAGTTTTTGGACAATCCAAAACGTTTAGCTCTTTCTTCCATTTTTAATTTTTCTTCTTTACTAAATATATCAATACCAGTTGTAAACGTTCCAGCACGATTCTCATAACGACTTTCAGAAAACTAAAAGTTTTATAAAACATACATATGAATGTGTTCATTTTCAATACATACATAAAAACAAAAACTTAATAAACTATGATTTTTTAAGTCTGTACTTATAAATTTCTCAAGGATAAATTAATAAAAGGTTCTCAATTACCTCTGAAGTATTAGAATTGTTCAAATGATTAAGTTTCCCACTGGCTTCCAAAAAATCATTCGTTCCAGATTCCTGTTCCAGGGTCATTTCAACATCAACGAGTTCTTCAATCACCTCCATATTATACACAGTGAACTTTCTTTATATTTGAAAACATAAAATGATCCTTATTAGATAATAAGGACAATAAATAATTGGTAAAATATATGAAATTAGAAAATTATTTAAGTAAATAGGTTATGATTTACACAAATAAGAAGAACCACAAACTACGACACGAACTGACGCGTACAAATTCGCCATCGAAACGAACAACCATAAACAATCAATGGAATATAGACTCAAGACTGTGTTCATGATTTTACTTTCGAAGCATTTCTTACGAAATAGCAAATGCGACTGTAGCGCCACTTCGTACAAATGCACAAGCTTAACTTACGTTTAAAATCTATCATTTTTGTAAAGGGAAACAAAATAATTTTCAATAATTTCTAAAAACATTCAAAGTTGAATGTAAACTATCGATTGATTTTACTAATATTTTCTATTTTTTTATCAAAAAATTGTTAACATTTCACCTTAAACATTAATTATACAGTAGATACTAATTTGAAGATAAAATACAATCACCGTAGTCCATATAAGAGAAAGCTCATTGGCTTTCAAAATTTAAATCGACCAATCAACTATCGCTTTTTGGAAACAATTTACTTTGCGCGAATATTTTATTCATTTAAAAAAATCTTTCATATCTTTTTAGCATACCTGCAACGCGTATATGTTATATATTTAAAATATAATAAGTAAGTAAATTTATTTCTTAATAGAAATTTTTCTACATGCAAATCTAGCTCATTTTCCAAAATATGCAGAAAAAATTCCAGGAAGTCGTAATAATGAATTGTACTTTAAAAAATTGGATCATATCATTCTCTGCCTTTGAAAACATTGCATTGAAAGATAATTTAGAATATTGTAAAAAAATTCAGAATTTATTTATGCAAATTTATAAATTATATTGCTCGAGAGAAAATCTTTGAATAATGTTTGAGCATATAATATTTGTGGATTTACATGATCAGACGCATCGAAATTATACTAACAATTAATTTTAATTTCTTAGTAGTCTTTACATAAAAATCGTTGAAAATAAACATATTATAAACTTAAGTCATTAAAATGTATAACTTTTTTACTGACTTCTAGTTACTCGCGTTAATAATTTATTCATGTTTTTTTTTTTTTTAACCAAACCACATTCTCGCTAGATTATTATAAATATATACAATTGTACAATAACACGAGGGATTATTGCGCGCATAACTTCATGCAAAAAGTTAATTATAATAAGAAATAAAAGATTATATACATATCATACATATGAATTTACATTGCACATTACATTGCGTTACCACATGTTTATCCTACGTAATAGCATGGTATATACATATTATTCATTTTATATGAGTATAACACGTATATATACTTTTGGCAATGATCTAGATATATATATATATATATATATATATCGGTTAACTTTAATTGGTTAACAACTTTGCCAAACAGAAAAGTATAGAAGTTATACAACAGATCTTAGAAATAAGTTTTAATATTTATAGTTCTTCTAGTTATTGTTTAGAAATAATTAAATAGAAAGAAAGAAAGAAAGAAAAAAAAGAGAACAAGTGATAGATAGAAAGAATGAAAAGTTTCATTCTATGAAAGCGTTTATATGAAATACGCGATGATATTTTTATTATCAATTTTTGAAAATGTCGAAATATTTAACCCCGATGGGTACAAACAGTTTCTTAACAGACATTTAATGGTATATCGAGACGCAATCATTTCTATTGACAGTACGCTTTTAGCTTCAGATTAAGAAGGTAGTACGGCTCACTACTAAACGATCGAAGATAACAATTTTTTCTTAATATTTGCTTTATATTATTAACATTATATATATATATATATATATATATATATATATATATATNATATATATATATGCACACATGTATGCGTTTTTCTTTTCTTTTTTTTTTGTGTACAATAATTTGAGATATTTAATAATCCAGTGTTGGAAAAGAGAATAAAATCTCGACAATTGAAAAGTGTAATTTTTAAATATACGTACATGACATTGATTAGGTGAATTTTGTAAAACGTTATATAGTTTTTATAGTTCTATCAGTATGCCAGAAAACGGAATACAATTGAGTGAAATGGTAAGTAAATTTGTATAATTATATATCATGTATATATATATATATCTATTTTTTGTAGATTCCTATAGAATTAAATAGATTAAATTGGTGTAACGCGAAATAAATTTACATTATTAACATTATTGACGTTGAAACGTTGTTTAATATCGTGAAATAAAATAGAATATTAAAAACATATATAATTATTTTTATTCGTGAAACATTTGTTATGGCATTTTCCAAGAAAAATTTCGAGAATCGTTTTTATAATAATATTTATAAATTTATTTAAAGACATATATATATGAAAATTTCTTTATTCGTATTTTTCAGAATATTCAAATGAAAAATCTAAATAACATGTTTACATTATCCGATAATAATGGGTTAACATAATTCCGAAACAATAAATCATTATCAATATATTTTTTTTTAATTGTTGCTTTATTATCTTTTCGGTCAGTTCCTCGTATTTGTTCTTATCGCTAAATTATTAAGAAGAATTATTAAGAAAGTAATTGTATGATATATGTATACATATATGTATATATACAAGGTGTTTCATAAATACATATCAATACTTTGCACGCACAAGTACTATCACAAGTAAAAAATCCAAGTAAAAAAATGTCACATGATATAACTTTGTTTTCGAATTATTGATTATTAAAGAAATTGGATATGCCTGTTTAGTTTCTAATACTTTTTTGATCTTATTAAATATTAGAAAATAATGTTTATCAAAACGTAGGATAAAAAGTTTGTTATTCTCATAAGAATTGTAACAACAAAATGATTTTTACATACACTATTATTTACTTTTACTTTACTTATGAAAAATATTCGAATGGAAAGAACATTAATTATATTAAAAGTAATAATAAAAGCTTATAAATTTGTTAAACATTAAAAGTAATTATACTTCATTATAAAAGCATCCGTCTTTTTTTCTTTCATTAATGTTGTTCAATACTTCACTTTGTCCTTAAATAAATATATTAATTCACGGGGCACGTAATTAGTTAAGAAACACTATTGTAGATATCTCTAAAATATTGACAAGCATTTATAAAACACCCTGTATATATTCCAACAAAACTGTTTAATATTTTTCTTAAATAATTATATCATAAAAAGATGATTTGAAAGTAACCTTCTTCTAACATCTAACGTAACGTTTAATCCTTTTTATCACATATTCAGAAATGAATTTATTTTCTAATATTTATTTATCATTTCTAAACTGAAAAAAAAGAAACAAAAAAATAAGATTATTAAATAATAATTTATCCTCAATTATATTATATACGAAGATTACACATATACATATCTTATTATTAGTGTAATCATAATTTCAAAATGAATAATACGAATGTATTAATGTATTTTTAGATTCTAATCGGTTAATTAAAACCTCTTATGTATTCACTGAGAATGAATGTTCCCTCTGTGATATTCGATATAAATCAATCATAATGTTAAAAGATCCTTAGATCGTGAGAGATGCACTTCGCTCAATTAAATAGCAACGATGCGAGAACCACGTTTTTAATTAAACGTATCACGTGAATTGTTATCTTGATTCAACCCGTCTATGCTTTAAATTTATATTTACCAGTTCAATAATTCCAAGGACGTTACATTATTCGATGAATCATCATCACCATCATCATCATCATCATCTATTTCATTTTCTGAAAATGATTAATCGAATCTTTGTATAATATTTTTAATCGTTACGTTGACCAACAACAAAAAAATTTATACATCTTGTGGAACTTTACTTAGAATTTATATCTTGGCACAGACTCCTCTTCTTTCTTGTGTATCAATGTTTGAGTTAACTATTACGAATGTGTTTAATGTTAAATATATTAACACTTTGCCGGGCGTACATTTATCGAAGTGCCGAAATTCACACAGGTTCCACTGCTCGTCAACGGTGATATTTTTTGAATTATTATAGTATTATATTTGTTTTGCAATAATATATTTACCTATACAAACGTCGATATGAAACATCATCATGACAGCGGCCGGCAAAGTATTAATATGTTATATATGTTGCGGTTAATGCAAAAAAAACTGCACGTGAATTGTATTACATTTTCATTAGCGAAGAATATTTTATGGAATTCTCTCGAAAGAAATAAAAACAAGTTTCAGATATCGTATAGAATGTACGAAAGGTTTAGATTAATCTAGAAAATGTGTATTATTTGATTGTTTTTAAAGATTGAGGGAAAAAGGAAGAAGTAATTTTAAGTGCTATTGTTAGTAAAACAAATTATGAAAATTTAAATATATGTACAAAATATTTACATAATAATTTTCGATTCATTTATAAAATGTATGTTCAGTGGGGTGTGCTTAAAGGAAGGGGGGAAGAAACAACAAAATCTCACCTTCGGATTCTTCCCCCTTCCCCTTTCTCGTGCTTGAAACACACATCTATATGAAACATATTTTATTAATTATTAGAAACTTTCTGGACATTATATAGAATATCCGGACAATGTGTGTAACGTGCTAATGTTTTACAGATTTTTTCGATTTACAGAATTTATATTCTCAAATCTAAGAATTTCAATCTTCATTTCAAAGCTTATCTAATCTCGAGATATAGATAGGTTCACAATTTATTTATGGTATTAAATTAGATTTCTTTTTCGAATATTATGAAAACGAAATTAAAATAAATAAGAATAATAAATACTCGTAAATCATGCTGTCCTATCGAATGAGTTACTATCTACTTGTGAATTCGTATATAATTATGTTATATTTCCTTAAATTTTATTCTATTATATTATAATCAAAATTTTGTTTACATGTTTATCGAAAAAAAATAAATGTAAGAAAAATATAATTCTATAGCCAAATAATTATTCGTACATCATCGTTTCCTTTTGATTAATGACAATCTTAATTATTGTAAAAAAAGTATATATTTTAATAATATATTTCCGTGCAACAATGTAAATCATATTAATCGAGAAAAAGAAATCAATTCAATTTATTTTGTTCTCGTAATTATTTTTGATATCACATATTATCATTAAAGAAAGGATTTCTTGGAACGTATTTATGTGATTGTATAAGATAAATAACAAAATTACAAGTCACAATTAATCACTTTCCTTAATTGTATTTATTACAAGTTAATCAAATAATAAAATTGCGATTATAATGTAATATAAAATCACACAATTATCGTGATGATCAATTTTGCAGTGTGAAGTATCCGTACGAACGAATAGAAAATGTAAATGAGGGATAATTAATTTTAGAAAAAAAAAAATGTTTCCTCATTTCTATTAAAGATTTTAGATCGATTTAACAGTTTTCCTTTGTTTCTTAGAATGTCAAAGCTACTCGAGCTTGAATATTTCTCATCATCATCATCATCATTCTCATCATCATCATCATCATCATTATTAGAATTTTACGCTTAGAGGCAATATCTTGATGCTCTACAAAATAGAATTTATAGTTCGTAATATGTATTCTTATGTAATCTCATTTGAAACAGCATTTTTCTCGTAATTTTAAATGAACAGTCACAAGAGAATCGTTAATCCGGTTTTTCAAGATAAACGATCGAGGAAAAAGAGGTGTTTTTTTTTTTTTTCTTCTTTATACGTTCCCTTTCTCACTCAAATTTTAATTTCTTTTTAATCGTAAGTAAAATCAAATGGAATTTCAAAATATTTCTCATTCAATCAATTTATTTTAGGATTTGGAAAATTCCACTAAAACTGATACGCAAGAAACGCAAAAAAATTCTCAAAACAGAGCAGCTGATATTACTTATGGCATCGACGATATACCACCATGGTATTTATGCCTTTTCATGGCACTTCAGGTATTATTATTATTATTATTATTATTATTTTATATAAAAACTTAACAATATATAGCGAAATTAAATGAGAATGTATGAAATTTAATTTAAACAAAAAAATGAAAAATTCTATATTTCTATAAAATTATAATTAAAGTTAATCATTATTAAATCAATATTCTCAAATAATATACGTAAGTAAATTAAAAAAAAAAAAAGTATATCCGTATTAATAATATTCATAGTGAAATATTAATAAAGTAATCCCACTAACAGTGCGTAAATGGAAGTCGCCTAATTAAAACTCAGTGTCAGCATTTTTTTTTTTATCGTGTGCTTTTTAAATGGAACTATATATATACATATATATATATTTGTTTTTTACGATATCCTTGTAAAGCATGAACAAGAAATCTATTCATTTCTTCTCGAGATATTTACACATCTAAAAATTAATAATTAATGTATATATAGTATTATTTCTTTTGCATAAATATTACCGTAGAAGAGATTTCACACGATTATTTTCTTTTTTTTTAAATAGAATGATGTATTTTTTATTACTTTACGATAGCCAGTATGATAAGAAAATCAAATATGATAGTCAAATAAATTGTCTGTATATTCAAGAAAATATTTTAAATTCGAAATTGTAATTATCACTTACGTAAATATAAGACAGTTTTATTGTTCGTTGATATGCATTATCGTACAATTAATTAACAGTGACACCAATTATTTTACAAAAATGCTGACCAATAATATTTAAAAAATATTAATTACATAAATAGAAGCATTGAGTTAATTATGTTTAATTGTAACAAAATGTGTATGTGTTTTTATTATGTATATGTTTATTTTATGTTTTGTAGCATTACTTAACGATGATAGGTGCAATCGTTTCGATTCCATTTATTCTAACGCCAGCACTTTGTATGGCTGAAGATGATCCTGCAAGAAGTTACATAATCTCAACGATGATCTTTGTAACTGGTCTTGTAACACTATTACAAACAACAATAGGATGCAGGTGATAGTATTATCTATGATTATTTTCATTATTTCTGTATTACGATATCTATCTTTTTACGTTAACTACCGTGTATTGTGTGTGCACATATTAGAAACAGATTAAATGAATGATTAATTATAGACATAAAATATCATTACTCAATGGATTATCATTCTTTATTTAAGAATCGAATTATCGAAACGAATGATTTATTATTTTTAAATCGATTTCGATGAGTATTATATTTCATAGAAAAAGAAAAAGAAAACAAAATTGGAATTCTTTTCCTTTTTTCTTTTTTTTCTTCTTATTTGTACAAAAATCATTTCATTATTGATTATTAAATTAAACACATTTTTTGTTGATCGTGTTCACAAACACATCTGTATGAACACATATTTTTTATCATTAATCTTGAGAATTTTGGAAATAATTGATAAAATATGTTCCATAAACATTTGTTTGAACGTTATTCGTAATGTAAATATAAATATAAATTTTATAAAATGTTTGTAAATTATAAAATACTTATAATATTACGTATTCGAGACATTGATTATACATTCATAGATTCTCATGCCTAGTACATAAATTATTGTAAAGAGTAAATCATTGGTGTTAGAAAAACGAGTGAATTATACCTCTTGTCATTAAGTATTATCTTTAATAGAATCTGAATAATAAAAGGATGAAAGCGTATGAGTTTCCTTCTTTTTTATTTTTTTTTTTTTAAATCTCCGATCACAGATCGTACTATGTACATCAAACTAACGTGCATCGTCTTGTTTATAATTTCAAATCTTGATCGATAAAGAATGTTTGAAATTATTTTTTATACGAAAGGAGGAAAAGAAAAAAGGAAAACAAAATGAAACAAATGACAATTTAAACGCATTCATATTCATTAATTGATTATCCAAATGAATTTTTAATTTATATTTATCTTCTTCTTTTATTATATCTTAAAAACAGATTACCTTTGGTACAAGGTGGTACGATATCGTTTTTAGTACCAACACTTGCCATATTGAGTCTACCACAATGGAAATGTCCAGCACCAGAGGTCTTGGAGAATATGTCTAACGAAAATCGAACGGAATTATGGCAAATTCGTATGAGAGAATTGTCCGGTGCAATTGCAATATCTGCATTGTTTCAAGTTATTGTTGGATTTGGAGGTAAAGTTTTATTAAATCAATTCCCGATATCCAATCATATATTAAATTATTAAATCATAATTATTTATACCAAAACGCGAATAAATGAATATAATGTGTATAAAAGATTTGTAGAAAAATTCTCGTAGAATATTATTTTTATCTTTCTCAAAAACATTGCGGTAACAATTGTATTTTTACGTGTATGATAAATATAATAATAAGTATTGAAATAGATATAAAAGAAAAGATTGAAAAATGTGTTGATCTATATCAACGTAGAAAAAATATTATTAATTAACATTAAGAATGTGACGTTCTTAATTTTTTTTTTAATTTTTATAATATATTTTCACAAAAATAATGTTCAAATTATATGAATTTAATTAATTATATCTCTAAGGAATTATCGGATACTTGTTAAAATTTATAACTCCTTTAACAATCGTACCAACCGTTTCACTCGTCGGATTATCTCTTTTCGAAAATGCTGCTGAAGCTGCGTCAAAGCATTGGGGAATTGCTGCTGGGTATGATACAATATGTTTATTTCTACTTAAACACAATATTAAAGATTAGGATATTTTCGATGATAAACTTTTTTCGATTGAAAATTATTGTTTATTTATATAGAACGATATTAATGCTCACGATGTATTCACAAATATTGGTCAATGTATCAGTTCCAATAATAATGTATCGCAAGGGTCACGGATTACGAGTCATATGGTTCGAATTATTTAAATTATTTCCAGTAAGTTTTATATGGGTTTATATTAAACCTTTGTATCTTCGAACAATTCATATAATACGTAGTTATACGCTTTAACGATACATTTTACGATACTTCTCGTGTTCTTCCATGCATATCGATTGTTTCTAAAAGATCGTTAATATCCATAAAGAATTATTACTTCCGTTGAGAATTATTTATAAATCTTATTATAGAAAATGACGATATTATCCTTAGGTGCTACTGACAATTATAGTAATGTGGATAATCTGTACGATTTTAACGTTTACCGATACATTGCCAGTCGGTCATCCTGCTAGATCCGATAGTAAAATTAAAATTATCAGCGATTCTCCATGGTTTCGAATTCCATATCCTGGTCAATGGGGTATACCAACGGTCAGTTTATCAGGTGTCCTTGGAATGTTAGCAGGTGTATTAGCTTGTACTGTCGAATCTATCAGTTATTATCCTACTACTTCTAGAATGTGTGGTAAGGATCATGTAAATAATGGATTATATTAATAAATATGTATATGTGTATGTTTATTAATAATAATGAAATAATAAATATAGGTGCTCCACCTCCACCAGTTCACGCTATTAATCGTGGAATAGGAATAGAAGGTCTTGGAACAATGTTAGCTGGTCTTTGGGGTAGTGGCAATGGTACAAATACCTTTGGTGAAAATGTTGGCACTATAGGTACACGTTCGACCACTTTATTAATTACATCATCTTTAAATTAGAATTCTTATGTAAACAAAATTAACATTATGTATGTAACATATATTTTTTTTTCGTTTTGATTAGGTGTAACGAAAGTTGGAAGCCGTAGAGTCATACAATGGGCTTGCGTATTAATGATCTTGCAAGGTTTGATTAGTAAATTTGGTGCTGTCTTTATTATTATACCAGAACCGATAGTTGGTGGTATTTTTTGCGTCATGTTCGGTATGATATGCGCATTTGGTATGTTATAATTAAATTTCTTTTTTTTTTATTTTAATTTAAACACATCTCCCCGCGTTTCGATAAAATATCGAAATAATACATTATTTTCATTCGTAGGTTTGTCAGCTTTGCAATATATAAATTTAAACTCTGCGAGAAATTTATATATTCTAGGATTTTCTATATTTTTTCCTATGGTACGTTTTAATAATAAAATAATCGGATAAACGTATGTTTTTGTTCTATTATATTTAACAATGTTTCTTCAAAAATGTAATAATCCAATAATTCGAATGATTTTCATCTCTTTTAATATTTAGGTACTATCCAAATGGATGATAAAACACTCAAATGTAATAAACACTGGCAATGATATTGCTGATGGTGTTATCACAGTATTATTAAGTACAACTATATTAGTTGGTGGCGTGATTGGTTGTTTATTAGATAATATAATACCAGGTATGATAGATTCATTAATTAAAATGTCACACAATGTTTCTCATAGAAATCTATTTAATATATATATATATATATATAATTTTAATAAAAATTAAGGTACTGACGAGGAACGAGGTTTAGAAGCTTGGTCGAAAGAAATGGAATTAAATGTTGAAACGTCTGATGAAAAACAAAGCACGGAATATGTACCAAATACATTTGATTTTCCTTTTGGAATGGAATTATTAAGAAGGTAATATATTCATTCACCTTGTTAATGATTATTATTTTTATAATCGGTTCGTACCTAATCTATACGCGCCACGTGACCTCCCCATTTTAATCGACTTCACTTTATGACGTTAATAATATCCGGACTACTGTATAATTGACGTAATTATACGTTGTGTAATTTCATCTTTGTAGTAAAGAAAAACTAACTATAAAAGAATATTTTATATTTTAGATGGAAATGGACGTCATATTTGCCATTTTCACCGACCTATCGACCAAGCCCTGGTATCTGTAGGTGTAGTAGACAAAAATAAAACATATTTTTGCATTTACATTAGATTACATTAAAAAAAAAAATTTGCTAGTAATAAAATATGATTCTTATTGTATCATAGATTAATAAATAGTAAGATATAATTTGTATTACAATATAATATATTTTGCATAAGAAATGTGCATTCATGAAATTAAATAATAATATAAGTTAAGATTTACGTTATAAATATGCTCGATATAATAATATCAATATGTATTATATAATAAAAACGTATATATATATATATATATATATATATATATTAATTAATTAAATTTATTGTGCTAAAAGAATATTTATTGAAATCATTAAAAATACGAAAAGCGTCCATTTTAGGTTTTTTTCTCATAATACAGATATAAAATAAATATATATTAGCGTTAAATCGTATAATTAAATTAATTTATGAAATAACTATAGATTTTTACGAAATAAATACAGAATTATAACAAAACATTTGTTTTCTACGTAAAATAGTAGATGCAGATACAATGCAAGTCAATGAATTTTTTCTAATTGTTTGATGCAATAATGCAAGTCGATTCATTGTTTTTTATTGGTCGACACAATATGAAAATCGATAAATTATCTCTGATTGGTTGACGCAATACTATAAGACGAGGGATTTCTTATGATTGGTTAACCGAGTGACAGAAGATAATTCTTGTTTTTATTTCGTAGACGATAGTAAAATTAGCGCGAAATAAATCAAATAATACGAATCGTTATTCGTTTACATTTGTATACAGTCGATAATATTTAGATATTCATAGTATTGTAATTTTAAAAATATAAAAAAGTGTAATAATGGCTACTTCGACGGATATTGCTACGGTAGTTTTTATAAAATTTTCTTGTTTTTTATCAAATTTCAATTCTAACCTAAACAAAAGTCTAATCTTAACCTATCTTTTATATACATGATATTAAATTAATAACTTTAAATGAAATTTAAAGTAATCTCTTTTAAACAATATGAATTTATATTGTGTGTCAGAATTTAATTTTGTAGTATGCATTATTTTTATTAAAGTATTTTGAATAAAAGATATCAATGTATTTAATAGTAACAGTAAGAAGAAGATTTGTTTGCAGATAAGGGTACAGAGATATTTAAGTATGCCATTAGTACAACGATGTCACGAATTGGCAATGTTAATTGACGAATCAAGTACTACAGAACTCCAACATGTATTTCCAATGATAATAGATTCTTTATTTGGAATAACAGACAATATCGGTTGGGGCTTGCATTATATTACTTACAAAAAGAATCCACAAGAATATGAAATACTGTATAATTTTCTTAGCCCGCTTGGACCAATATTTTCTCTTTGTTATAAATTACTTCCAGATTGTTATTTAAAATATAATTTTCCGATATCGTATTTACCGGTAAGTTATATACTTTTTATATAATTGGAAAGACTTTGTATATTTTACATTTATTGTTAATATAATTTCAGTCGAAGATACGTTCAATGTTAGAAGAAGGTGTAATACCACCTTTCTATCTTGATAAATTTAGAGATGACCAAGGTACAAGAGTTCCATCAGCTTTATGTATGAGTATCCTTCAGTATTTTCGCACATTACAATTTTTATTTTGTCGAAATATCAAATTCAACAAAAAAAAAAATGATCCTTAACGTTATTACACATATCCCTTTGAGTATTATATTTTTCATTTTGCTTATCATTTGACAAATCCTTGGCTGCAATTACAGCAACAAGAAAATGTTTGGGCAAATTGGGAAACGGTTTATGTCCAATCGGCTCATTATTATTTGCATCATTTTTTACCAAGAGATAATTCAACGGTTTTACCAATAATTGGACCCTACATAAAGAAAACTCCTCAAAGAAAATTAATGCATATGCCTGAAAATAAAAGGTATGATATTATTTTTTGTTGCGAAGAAGAAATGCGCTTTGTCTCCTTATTAGCGTTAAAATTTAAATTAGAGATTTTCATAGATTACAAACTCCACGACTGTTGAGAGCATCAATATTATCACCGGGATCTACCAATTTAGTGGTAGGAGTTCCTCAACAACAATGTCTGCCTCAAGTATGGAGAAGCGAAACAGTAATTCAAGTATTCCTTGATTTTTGGATGGAATATACCGAAGATGATCATATGCCTTCTCAAATGAATATGTCTTATTCTACTCCTATTCCACATCGTGTAAGCATAATGTAATTTATAATATATTTTTTGTTTTTTAAACTATTTCAACATAACAATGTTATTATAGCATAGCATTCATTCTGGTGAACATATACGCTTAGTAAGAGCTTTTATAAAAACTTTACACGAATTTGCAAATAGTTCAACTGGAGATAAAAGTGCCATGGATGAATTAAAAAGGTATCATCTTATGTTCTTATGCAGCTATATTGCATAAATAAGATACTAATATTTTATTGATTTTAAAGGATTATTTTGCCATCTGTCCAAGGAAAAATATACATATTTCTTCGAAAAGCTATATACCATTGGCCTTTAGACAGTTCATTTAGATTAATATTAGAGGCATGGTTGAGCTTTATTCAACCATGGAGATATGTTCCAGGAGTAACATATACAAAACAAGGGTATGTGTGTGAGATCATAATATATTAACGATATAAAATTTATATATTATACAATTATAGAAGGCCAGAAGAAGAAGAGAGAGGCAAAATACATAATCCCAATAGATGGATTGCATTTGTTGCTAATAATCTATTAGCTTATACAGTAATATTCCAACAATTATTACCTCGTTTTATGAGAACTGATTTAGTAGCACCAAAGAATGCTTTGATGTTATTTAGAGTTACAAAGGTAATAAACAAGCTGTTGTATATAATTTGAAACTCTTTTATAAATATATCATTCTTTTTATCTTTTTGAAGGTATTCTCTCAACCTCATTTAGCAAGAATATTATCAGAAATAGAAAGTTGTATGGATGATGCCAATCTTAACAGAAGTCGCATGCAATCTAGTCAGTGGACATCAATAGTAAGACAACAAATTATGGAACTTGAAGGACCAACGTATCAATACATTCCTATGTTTTCAGTAGCCATTATTACACAAGTATTTATTATTTTTTATTATTAATACTGATACAATAAATAGCAATCATTTGTTTCCATTTGTTAATAGAGGATTTTTTATTTTAGATAAGCTTTTTCTTAAGTATAATCAAACAAGCACATGTAACAGCAACGAGTTTAATCGAAGCATTAGAAAAGAGAAAACAGAGTCAACAATTTTTAGTTGGCATATGGGAATTCTTTTTCGGGGAAGACAATTCATCCGATGATATTTCTATAGAAGAACGTCGTAGAGTTCCTTTATTTTTAGCAAACGCTCAACAACAATTGATCGAAATTTTCGAAGTAAATATACTTTATTTAATAAAATAAAATTGTGTATAAAATGTAACACTTATAACTCTTCGTATCCAAAAATAATCAAACAAATATGTTGCTTTTTAGATTTCAATAGAAGATATTCCACAAATTACTATCACCCCTGATCAAGAATATCACGAAAGTATCCTCTCGACTTCTTTTCATCAACAGTATCAGGTTATTTCAAATATTCTTTACTTCTCTTTGTTAACTCGTAACAATTGTAAACTAATTTTACTTTGTGAAGCTAATAGTTCAATCTTTATTACATTTAGATGGATTCCTCGTTAGATTCAAGCAGACCAGGTCTTTTTGTACCAATATCGGATGGAAGAACAAATTTCCGATATATTGAATATATGGGAGATCCAGAATTACAGCCAGTTCGTTCCAACGAGTGTCCTTTTCTAGTTAGAAATTTATATAAATTTTGTACTTATATTAATAAAAAGGTAATATTTTTTTATAATGCTATAAAGCGTCGATTATACGAATTAATTGATTTTAAATCGAATAAAAATGTTTATCTTTATTTTTAGTATCAACATGAGATAAATACTTTGTACATAAAACAAAATTTTCTTGGAAATATTTGTCGACAAATACTTATACCACCAACCACAGTTGTACAACTTCCTAAACGAACGATGAATGGTTTTTCAAGCGGTCATGAAGAGCTTATACCTCCTAGATTGAGCTTAAGACGATTATCTAATTACAGTTTCTTGATTTCTATATTTGCGATGATGTCTATAGCACGAATAACAAAGTACGTACTATTATTTTGTCGTTATGAACATATTTTATCGTAATTCTTCCTTAAGAAACTATTTTAATATTCTTTTTCTCTTTGTCGGTTCACAGTTATGGAGTACTATGGTTATTGTGCATAATTTTCTTTGTATGGTCTATTTATATATTAATACGAGCAATTTTCGAACCATGGTTCAAATCAAGTACAAATACTTTTAGACCAAATACAACAGCTTTTTCAATAAACTAAACAAATAATCTAAATTTGTAAAATGAACAAAAAGGAATGAACAATTCATGCAAATTGTTTTATCTAATATAATAAATTAATTTATATGTGAGAATGAGACTCCACAGGATATAAAAACAAAAAGATATAGTAGTTAATAAATTTTGGATGTATAAATTAGTTTGAAATCTATAATATTAACAATATTATTTATACACAATATATTTTTGTGTAAACTTTTTAACAGATTATTAACATTGACCAAGGAATAAATTAATATAATTTTGTATAACTATTGTTGAAAAGAATTATTAATAAAAAAAAACAAACAAAAATAAAAAAGATGAAACTAGATTCACTGGTAAATAAATAAATAACCAATCCCAAATCTTCAGTTAAGCATTAACATCGGTAAAGAGTTATCTTGAAAATGGGATACAATTTATTGCGGTAGAAGTATCATTATTCAATCAATATTACGTGCATACCATCAATTATGATTTCTTCTATTAGTCGTATTACGTATACAGATCTGTCCAGGACGTATGTGTACATATGTACTCAGAATATGTATATACATGGAACACAGTTCGTTAACGTCGATATTGTGAAAGATACGTTGCAAGATCTGACGAAAATTGTACCCTTTCCGATCCGAGAATCAACTACCGTTGTAATATTATTGAGATATTATAACGTATATTCCATTGGATTGGCCAATAAATAATGTTGAGATTTGTAATTGTTTATGTTTAAATTAATTATACTAGTCTTTTTTTTATTGAAAATTTTTTATGGTA